AATTGGCATTGACTGCCCGACTGTCGATAAAAAATACGTCTCCAAAATGCAGCTGTTTGCATTTGAATTTTCCCGCGCTTTGGCATTTGGGATAATAAAACTACCTCTAAACGTCGACTTTTCGCAAAACGGCGCATCGCCTGATATGGTACGGTTCGAGATGGGGCTGGTACACAAAGGGTTAAAAATAGAAGACCGTGCTCAAACTGTGGGAAAAAATAGAAGACCGTGCTCAAACTGTGTAGAAGAAAATGGAAGTACGGGGGTAAAACTGTGTGGCGAGAAATAGAAGACCGGGGTCAAACTGGGTTGAAAGAATAAAAGACCGTCCTCGAATACAAGACCGTCCTCGATTATAAGGCCAGGTTAGGACGAGGTTGAAAAAATAGTAGACCGGCCTACTATTTGTGGAAATACGGTATAAGTCTCTATTATAAGTCTCTACTATAAGTCTTTATTATAAGCGCACTCCAAGAGGGCTTCGAAGGTATACAAGCGCAGTCTCCAATATAAGCGCAGGGCTTATAATGGAGAACCGTATGGATCATGATCATTAATTATTATTATTATTATTTTAAAACGAAGGTAAGTTTTGGGTCGCAAGTATCCACGCAAACACACATACAGTCACAATACGGCATTTGTCAAAAGTATCCGAACGTTTTGGTCCCTTCTCATCAAGGATTGTACAGGGAATGGCTCAAGTTGGAAAGACTAAAACTTATATTGTGTAAAGATAATGAGATAACAACACTCGTGACAAGGTGGAAAATTATCAAGTTCAGTACGACACAAAACTCGAAGGAAAATAATAATAGTGACAACAACATAGTATATAGTAAGTCACCTCGACGAGGAATAACACCAAACAATTGTAGCGACAACACATTTTCTTTCTGTACGCAAAGTTCAGGATCTAACTTACGAATATACAAAGCTTCTAAAACAGCCAAATGCAACGCACATCTACCACGTGACAATACTTTTGTTGAGAAAACATTATCACTGTACAACTCACGACAATTGGTACGGGCTGACAGATGTTGCTTGATTGACGAAGTGCGATTCTTAGCTCCGTTGGGTGTTGTCTCCTCCAATGTCCCATCATCTCGCCTCTTCGTGGCATCACCACTAATACTATCCGTCTCTTCGCGTTTCCGCGGCCTTCCACGTTTCTTGACACTAGCCGTTGGGTGCGCGATGCCCAGTGTCCTTTCAGCTACGTCTCCTCCATGGCGACACTCCTCCATTACTCCTCCATTACTCCATTGCGACACTCCTCCATTACGACACCACTATCTATAGGAAGCCAACGTTCACTGGCCTCTACATTCCGTGGGGGAGCATACTCCAACGAAATCGAAGAGACATCTTGTGAAAGCGCTAGTTTATCGTGCACATAGAATATGTTCCCCTCATCTATTGCAGGACGAATTAGACAGACTGACATCAATATTTACGAACAACGGCTATCCAAAGGAATTTCTGGCCAAGCTAATCAACGAAAAACCGGTGACAGACAAGCCTATCCAATTTGGACCTGACCGTTGCCCAGTGGTGCTCCATTTACCCTGGGTTGGCGCTAGGCCCCCGTGTAATATGCCCGAAACTTTGCCGAAAATGCTTTTGGGAAATTCTCGCAAACCTTGCCGAAAATGCTCCCAAACCTTGCCGAAAATGCTCGGAAAATGCTCACTTTTTTGTCATCCTCAGCACACGCCGTCAAAACCAGGGAGTCAGAAAATACTCAATAAGAGACTTGCTCGAGACATAAACTACTCAACAAGAAGCTAACCCACGGAATGCGGAAGTGACGTTCTTGTTTGGGAAGTTTTCTTCTCTCAATTTTGATACACAGCGGCCAAGTGCTCCGTTTCCCCCAAAATGCTGCATCACGAGCCCAAAGTGCTGGGTTATCGGAGGTACCGAAAATGCTCAACAAAATGCCGGCATATTACACGGGGGCCTAGTTGGCGCGGGTTCTACGCGCGTGGAGAAGGATGTTTGTGGTATCGTATGTCCATCATAATATCCGTGCGTCAAGCTGTACGTCATATTTTGGGACAGTGCGTGCGTTCAGTGTGAAGAAGGATGTTCTACCTGCCCTTAGTAAAAGTAACGTTATCTATTTCTTTCAATGCCGACAATGTGAAGATCGGTATGTAGGTAGAACCCTTCAGCACCTGGGCGCACGCATTCGTCAAGATGTGCCGTTAAGTTGTGTTCCGCTTGATGCGCGCGATTGTCGTCCTCGCCGTGGTCATCCTCCAAAATGTGCTGTCCAGTCCATCACTCATCAGTGGATCTTCCTCTTCCCGTGAAGATGTGACTGCATGCCCGTCCTCCTCTGCGTGTGTAGGACAGGGGCCAGCTGAGAACAGCATGAAAGATGGTGAAAGACCGACACGTAAACCACCGAAACTGACAAAGGATCTGTCGGCGTCGGTAAGGGTGACGCGAAGCCAAGTGAAAATACGGACTGGTGAGGACGAACGACTTACGTACAACGACAACGGAAGTGACAACAACAGTCAATATTCGAAAACGTGGTAGACCGCGAAAACTAACCTCAATATCGGACACCGGACAAGGTGGAGTAAGAAGCTCAATAGAAATCCGCAATGGAGGAGACGTAGCTGAAAGGACACTGGGTATCGCGCACCCAACGGCTAGTGTCAAGAAAAATGGAAGGCCGCGGAAATGCGAAGAGACGGATAGTGGTGATGCCACGAAGAGGCGAGATGACGGGACATTGGAGGAGACAACACCCAACGGAGCTAAGAATCGCAATAAAAGCAACATCTGTCAACCCGTACCAATTGTCGTGAGTTGTACAGTGATAATGTTTTCTCAATATTGTCACGTGGTAGATGTGCGTTGCATTTGGCTGTGTTAGAAGCTTTGTATATCCGTAAGTTAGATCCTGAACTTTGCGTACAGAAAGAAAATGTGTTGTCGCTACAATTGTTTGGTGTTATTCCTCGTCGAGGTGACTTAATTTGCTCACTATATACTATGTTGTTGTCACTATTATTATTTTCCTTCGAGTTTTGTGTCGTACTGAACTTGATAATTTTCCACCTTGCACGAGTGTTGTTATCTCATTATCTTTACACTATAATTATAAGTTTTAGTCTTTCCAACTTGAGCCATTCCCTGTACAATCCTTGATGAGAAGGGACCGAAAACGTTCGGATACTTTTGACAAATGCCTTATTGTGACTGGATGTGTGTTTGCGTGGATACTTGCGACCCAAAACTTACCTTCGTTTTAAAGTATTATCCGCCTCCAACCTCTTTCAAAAAATTAATTATTATTATTATTATGAAATGACCCAAGGGCAATGTGCCTATCGAGGGGTTCATTTCATTGAAAGAACAGTACTTCTAATACTAGTACATGTATTCAGGATCTTCACAGTATGAAAGCGTACACGAAGGTGTACATACTGTTACTATTCAACAAGCTTTAACCACTGATACGGCCATAGGCGAGAACTTCACTGATTGGTCATCTCCAAGACAACGAGATTGACCTGATTCTAATACTGGACTAAACGTTCAATGCTACTTCCAGTATTACTACAGCGTCCTAGTGGATGTTCCTCCCTTTCCTTTCTGTAGCTCTCCCTTTCCTTTCTGTAGCTCTCCCTTTCCTTTCTGTAGCTCTCCCTTTCTTTTCTGTAGCTCTCCCTTTCCTTTCTGTAGCTCTCCCTTTCCTTTCTGTAGCTCTCCCTTCCCCACACTCATCATGGCACCTGTGTTCATCATGTGTGTTCATCATGCGTGCGTATATGTGTGTGTGTGTGTGTGTGTGTGTGTGTGTGTGCGTGTGTGTGTGTGTATGTGTGTGTGTGGGTGCGTGTGCAGTGTGTGTGTGTGTGTGTGTCTTTGCGTGCGCACGTGCGTTCATGTGTGCATGTGCGTTCATGTGTGTGCTATGTGATATAGGTCTGTTGTTACGGCAGATCTCAAGTGATGCAGCACTATCTATGTACAATGTCATTATTGTTGATGAGGTAAGTACAAAGACAAGTAGGGATTGATGAGGAGAGAAAAATCAACTGCAAGGTGGCGGAATTCCGTTGATTGCATAAGCATGGTCAGCTGTAAATTTCATGCATGTTTGACGTCACACAGTATCACATAAACACATACTGTGTGTGGTAAGATTTGGTGATCCCCGAGATCTAAAGTACAGACTCAGTGTACATGTACCAGGAAGCCCAACACAGCAGTCCATGTCCCAGCTGGGAAACTTTGTGCTACTGATATAATGAAAAATAATAGGCAATGCACATGTACCAGGTGGTTGAAAAATTATAATATAAGCCCAGTCTCTAGTAGAAGCCCAGCCTCCAATATAAGCCCAGGGTCCGGACTGGTTGAAGAAATGTAAGCGCTGGGCTTAAATGGAGATATAAAATACGGTATCTGTAGCTGCAAGAGTACATAAAGGTTTATGTACTCTTGGTAGCTGTAGTAGCTATCCGAAGATTGAGTCAATTATAAAATTATGTTCTTCCTCACATTAGATGCACATTAGGTAACATTTATCCATGTTAAATTTTCTTTCCTCAGATTAATTTTACCGTTTGGTGAGAGCTCAGGCTTTTTGGTCTGGACAAGAAGGAATGCTTGCTCATCTGGACAAAGTTCTCGTACATCAAGAGGGGCACAGTGCCTCTGGGGGGGGGGGGGGGGGGGGGGGGGTGTTGATTGTCATTATTGTCTGCACTTGATTTTCCTATCTCCTCAGGCTGCTTGCCTTCATACTAACTCGGTATTATACCTGCGCTTCTTCTAATCTCCTTATGTTGTCTGATAATTGGTTTTTACCATGAAACTCTGAGTAACAACGAAAGTTACGAAACAGCCCTATTTTATTTCCTTTTCGTGTACCTCTTGCGTATCAAGAGGGGCATCAACGACGACACAACTAAAATGATATCAAAGACGACGACACATCATTCCGTCATACCAACATACTCTTCACTGTGTTGTCTAAAATATTGAATACTTCTGTTCCAAAGCAGCTACATATACGAACAATGACAAGAATTTAAAAATAACAAGCACACAAACACATTGAACGGGTGCCGAGCACAAAATACCTCAGCCCAAAATATACTAGCTGGTAGCACTGGAAGTGAGAATAGGAAGCAGATGAACTCAACATGTCAGAGCACGAGCAAAGTTAAAATAAGCGAAACAATCACAATAAAGAAACATCAGAAGGTATTGTTAGGTGGCATGATGAATCACGAGCAGCAGCAGCAGCACTGGTCCAGTTGCAGAAACGCCGGGGCAGTCTTGGACCATACTACTATTTCGGGACACGTGTGAAAACATACGGTTGCCAGCATTCTATGCTCTGTGTGTGTGTGTCGTGGTGTGGCAGCCCAGGTACCCGCACGGTTACTAATTACCAGTACTGCTAATTCATGATCTACCTACTATGAAGACTAGAACCTAGGCAGAGACAGAAAATAGTGACTGACCCCCCAGAATACACACACGAGAAAGAGGGAAAGGAAAGAGATGGTGCAGAGCGTGTAGAGCGCTGAAACTCAAGAAACTTGGAAAGCGGCATGAATTATACCTAGTTTTAGAAGTCACCAATGGGAAACAGGGCACAGTTGACCGGATCAAGCTGACAGCAACTATAGCAGTCAACTAGTTGGGTAGTATTGCGGACATGCCGGCGGCAAGGAGGAAACATAAATAAGATTACTTGTACTTTAAAACATCCGTCGCATGACGATAGTGGTTAGGTTACCATGACGATAGTGGTTAGGTTACCATGACGATAGTGGTTAGGTTACCGAATGCGGCCATTAGCCTTAATGTCTGGGAGGTCTGATTTCGGATCGGGCGATAGTGTGCTCCACGAGGTTTTGGAGCATGAGGATACACTGGGGCACAGTCGACTGGAGCCAGACACTGCACAATGGCTACTTATAGTCCACGCCTGTCGTGTCACTGAATCAACGTAATCCTGGAGCTGTTGCTGAACATCCATGTCGTCCTTGAGAACAACATAGGGGCCTAGGCCAGCACGCTGCACGCCTGCAGCGTCGACAATTTCCTTATTGCCTTCTAGCTCTCTTGGGAAGAGAACAAAGTGAACACTGCCCAGCGAAGCGGCTGTTGGCTTCAAGACTTCAACATCCGCACGCCAAAGGCCAGGTTCCTCCGAGAGCTGGAAGTCCACTGGAAGGTCGGCAATACTCCAGTCTTTATTCGTGTCGATATGCTGTACTTTCTGCTTCTACAACATGGAAATGAACGCGTAGAAGACAGGGGACATGTTCTATAAATTGAAACAACCCCGAATGTGGAAAAAATCTTCATTTGAGCACGTACATCATGCGAACACTGAGCATAACCTTTCCACTTGCTACATGATCTGGAGAACATATGTTTTACCAGTGCACATGCCACTGCATGAACCAGACTGAAATCCACACTACTCAATGTACAACGAGACAAGCAGATCGACAACCTGCATGACCGGGGGCTTACCTTCCCTGATGGACTCGTGAAGACAACCTTGAGCTTCAAACTTTGTCCGGTCGTATAGCGCACGACAAACACTACCTGGCTTTGCACACCTATGATGCCAGCATAGTTGCGATAAACGTACTCTTTCTTGTCAAACTTGGTGCCAACCTAGGAAAGGAAGCAAGGTTGAAACACAGACGAGTGTTTTTCACAAAACAAGTTTGAAACACACAGATGAGCGTTCTAACCCAAGGCTAGACATACAGCACACATCAACCTGGCAAAGGAAGCAAGGTTGAAATGTACGGATGGACGTTCTTCACAAGCCTAGACATTTAGCACACATCAGCAGTAGTAATCCTGCACATTGTAATTGATCATAATTATGAGTAGGCTTTCACGGTAGTGCCTTGATCCTTGAGGGTGGTGGCGTTGCTACAGATGCGGAAAACTCGGCCTCTAGCCGAGTCTCACGCGAACCGTGGAAATATTTTTTTCACGGCAGAGACAGGCCTGACATCAGCAGACACACTCGCGCCCGAACCACAGCAACACAACAGTGCGCCCAGTGCTTACAGAAATCGACTTGAATCGCGGCACAGCGGGATTGTCAACAGACTTCGTCGCCTTCACGGCTGGTACCACAAATGCTTCAAACACAGGAGAATCCTCAGAGTTCCCATATCTGGAACAACAGAGACAACATAGGCATAATGATATCTGAATGGCAGAGGAATCCTATGTCCCATACTGATCATTTTTAATGAATTAAAATTCATTCAGATTATGAAGACTTAGGCGCGCTCCCAATCATAATGACCGGATCAGAGTATTGAGATCAGCACTGTACATGTATTGCATCATAGAGAACAAAAAGACAACAATAAGATCAAAAATATACCGAATCTTGACGATGATGGCCTTGAAAACATCGTTCTCCCGATAGAGATGCACATCTTGAATATTGGCCTGGTCATTCGCTGCTATGCAGCCAGATAGCTTCGCACGCAATAGCCGTGCAACACTACGGTACAGAGTCATCTGGACGTCGCTGTAACTCTCACCAAAGTCTTCAGAGTTGTACATGTTTTCCCTGCATAGAATAAGAATGGAGGGGGGGGGGGGGAGAGGAAGAAGAGAGAAGAAAGTTAAGCGTCGGACAAGAAATCAGCCAGCGGCTAGCGCTGACAATGCAAGCATTCCTGGCCACATCTCCAAAATTACTTCAAAGTACATGTACCAGTACCCAACGGACTGAGTGAAAGGCATTAACTACAACAATGCCACGCCACATGGTGCAGGGAGCTAAGCACAATAACGATGATTGCTGCTGCTTCAACCTAAGCATGCAAAGCATGTCAATCTCATACCGCATATGATATGGCAGCGTCAAGTTGCAACAAGGTGCAGTTTAGCTGTCTTGACAGAAATCGCTAGAAGTAGGTACATCACGTAATGCTAAAGGAAAAGTCGGAGCTTCCCCTCGTGACACGTGAACTTGTTTTCATTTCCGAACACGAGGACATTGCCGCCATCCCGCTCCCCAAGCACAATGCGAAAGGAAGACCACTGTCCCTAGTTGTTCAGTCAACTCCTGGCTGTTCACATGAAGCGGCGGCATCAGTGCATTCACTTACCAATAGGCATCCAGAGCAGGTGTTCCTGCTGGATAGGCACCAAACAGCCAGAAGTCCAGTTTGTTGATAATGTCTTGGTTGACGACAGCTTCAAACTTCCTGCCAAAGAGTTTGTCTTGCAGTCCCTGGAGCACAAAGAGAGGGAAACCAAATTAAACCCCAATCATCGCGGGATGAAGACGAGCTCCCACACCCACACCCACAAACACACACACACACACACACACACACACACACACACACACAAAGACACACACACACACACACACACACACACACACACACACACACACACACACACACACAGGCACAACAAACACACACTCCGTGTAGCACAAACCTGGATTTTCTTGAAATCCTCTGACAAGAAGTCGTTTGGCGAGCAGCCACACCAATCCACAATTGCCTTGTACTGGCAACGACATCCAAGCGAGCGCTTCCAGTTGGCCAGCCTCAGGTTGTTCTTGACCATCGTTTGGCACATAGGGCTATTTCGAAGCAGTGTGTGGAAGAACGACTGAAAACAGAACAGAGAATGCAATCAACAGGACGAGCAGTCAAGGCCATGATAATACAGAAAACAAACATTCCCTATTTGGTCTGCACATGTACCAAGTTTTGCACAAAAACAACAATAATCTTATGGACACAACAAAGAAGAAGAAGTGGATCCATTTTGCTTACTATCCATCGGAAGTGCAGACAATGTTCTTTAGGTTTGCATGCATTGGAAGCGTTTCGAGCGCAGACTTTTGAGACTTGTCGATAAAGCCAAGGTCAGCATTGGCAAGGTTGACTGCACAGCAACAAGATATCCCGTAGAGAAAACAAGTTTTCTAGCCCACAGTGCCATATTCCCTTACCTCTGCTGGTAACAGCGTGTATGAGAACATGTGCTTCAAGCCCAGCGCGACCGCGTCCGTGCTCGCCACCAAGTAGTGCACATAGTCACGATTGAGCATGATCCAATCCGAACCTCCGTCAATGTGAATACCTTCGGGAAGCTTGCGCGGACCGATGCGCCACATGTGATGCTCGCACTCAAAGAATGTCTGGTCCAGGCCTTGCTTGTGGATGAACCTAAACAGACAGAGTTCATGCCCGCATGAGAATGCACGCACCCACACACACGCACCCCCCCCCCCCACACACACACGCGCACAAACGAGCGCGCACACGTGTGCACACACACACACACATGCACACACACACACACACACACACACCACAGACCAAAACACTCGGCATCACAGAGGCTAGTACGTCGTGAAACTCAAAGTATATGAAACTGTTACGTCACATTGCGCTTACAAAGAGAAAAAAACTTTAATGTTACAACAGATTTCGAACTGCTCTCCACAAGCATAACACTCGGCGCACAGTAATACACAATCTACATGATTGTACTAAACTGCAAGAATATTTATGTCCTCTCTTACCTTGGCGAAGTCTTGCCATGCGCTCTGAGAAAGTTGTGCTTCCTCCATGCAGTCATGTAGTCCACAATATAGGTGAAGTTCCTGGCACATAGCATAGCAGCAAATACAATGTTGAACCTCACGGACAAGCAATTCAGGATCGGAATCCAAGGCTCCACCTACTCGAGCAGCCATTCATACTAACAGAGTACAGGTTGTTCTCTTCTCAGTGCACTTCCACCATAAACGAGGACAATATAATGTTTAGGCTTATGAAGTTTCTTCGTCAGAATAAATTTCGTTCGGGGCATAATGCTGCTGCCTAATACATGCTATACGGGGATATGCTTGTTAACTCTCAGATCGTTGACATACCTTCTCGCTAAACTACGGATTTGGGATATTTGTTTAAATTGCAGCTTGTTATGGTAGCATGTCTTACAGCAGACCGAATGGACATACTATAAAGTAGGGTAAGTCCCCTCTAAACTGCATAGTGCATAATGTCTTATGATTGTATTCTAAAGTTAAGTAGTACATGCATGAGTGTGCATATACAGTAGTACGCCTATCAGAAGGTAACACACACAAGACTCACTTGAATGGGAAATCAGATTCGCTCAGGTTAATGAAGTAGTCCCAGTTCCAGTCGGTCATTGCATCAGCATCTTCCATGGCACGTAGCAACATTTGCAACAGCGACGCTCCACCCCAGATGGTGGCTAGTCTCCACGGGGTGACACGCACGTTGTCAAACTTGGCCGCCAGCTTGTTCATTTCGGCCAGCATGTAATGAGAGCGCTACAAAACACAACGCAGTGCAGCAAGGACAGCAGCAGGGAATTGAAGAGAAGGGTTTCACCACTGAATATGGTGTGCTCTCTACGGTGAGCAACACGTTTACAAACAGTCTTGGCCACTGAACACACACACACACACGCACACACACACTTCCCAAGCACCGGAGTTCAGATTTACTGCTGGGGCAATGGCAGACAAGCGAGAAGGTAGGGTCCAGATTATCATGTGCACGTACACAAATATAGACCCATTGAATGGTGAGCTACTAGTACATCAACGAATAAAGCATGCATGTAGGGATCTCAGCGCATGAACTGCGCAGCCAGTCTGCGCAGGTGAGATTTCGATCCCAAACGCGTCCAGTGAAGAAACCGTGGAAAAGAACATTTTTTCGAAATAAATCAAGTTGAAGAAGACAGTAGAAATGGCTGAATGTTGCGTCCAGGAAAGCACGTTCTACGGCCATCTCCAAGCTACCTATCTCCCAGACACTCTCTCAGAGGAACTATGGTCCTGTATGGAGGGTCAAAGAGCACGATATTTCACTCTTGGACGCAGCGTGAACACCTCTTCTACTGAGCCTTCTCTCTGAGTGATAATGGCGGCGATGTTCGCGATGGCTCATGCACTGAAAATCGAAGTTAGGACAATCTAACCGGAGAAAACGTCTGAATTTTTGACTGAATCCTCTCTGAAGTGGGTTCTTGCCGCATGACAAATTATAGGAAAATCGACCGGGGCGATATCGCCTTGGCCACGCTGTCCTTCGGCGGGAATCACAAAGTATGCTCGAACGACGATGAAGATGACGATTCCGCTAGTGTCCACCGCTTCCGCTAGTGTCGGAAATCGACCGTCGCCATTTTCTGCTGTGTCCGCGAGCTGCACTCAAAACTCGATGACGCAATGTATGCGCAAACACCCTGCGCACTGCACGCGCTGAGATCCCTAATGCATGTTGGAATGATGTCACATCCAATACATAGCCTCACTTAAACTGTTGTCTCCTCGCTACCTTTTTATATCTTATATCCCAATCTCTCTTGTGTATCCTTTATTTATTTATTTTTTCGCAAGTTGGTGTCGAAACGAACCAGCGGAATGCTCAAGTGCAAAGATTTGTCTAGGCCAAATCCCCTGTACACCAAACTATAATATAGTTCACTCATCAGTGACAGACCGCTATGAAATTTACTTTAGACCTGAGAGCAGAAATGGCACCACTAGCTCACCGCGTCCACATGTATGTAGTAGTAATGGTTGACATGGTAGATGGCCTTGAGGACACGGTAGACCTGTCGTACTGCACGACCATGAACCGTGATCATGAACAGTATCCTGACCCGTGGTATGTCCGGGTGCAGCTTCGGCAATGACATGTTCGCACTGATGGCCGGATTGTCATGCACCGGGCATGTGCGAGTGAAATTCGTCCAGTAGAGCTGCTGGAGCTGGTGTGCACAAGACACTCTCCTCAGCTGGTCCTTGCAATCCTCTGTTTTGGCTCGGCTGAGCGCTGACAGAGCCTCCTTCACAGTGATATTGCATGCTGGCACGTGGGGAATAAACGGAAGTACTATTGTCTCTGGTGGTGGCTCGCGAGGCTTTGGAGGCGGCCGCGCAATCACGTATGGCTCATCAACTTGTCGTTTGAATTTCCCCTGTGCACGGCAGCATAGCAAACGGCAGAAGGGTTAATTTGGATAGTCGTCACTTGGTTAAGGACAGTTGATGACTATTCAAATACAACAATGGCCAACCTAAGTCATAGCATGTGATAAACTGCCATAGTATACACTAGAGTGCTACTCCTAGCAAGGTACTGTAAGGTTGCACAATAAAGCTGTGCCTATGGCCTATGGCCACACATGCTAATGTTATGGCCATGAATCTCTTCAAACATGACTTACATTCATGCGGTAATGCATAACCAATGTGCAAAGGTCCAGGTGTCAACATTCTCTTCAAGGTCCTCCCCCCCCCCCCCCCCTAACTCATGTTCCCATGCAAGGCGTTACAGCACGCCACTCTCAAATATAGTACAATATTACATTTCATTCGGGGGCCGTGCACAACGCCGGTTCTAAATAAACTAATATTCAAACATTTGGCGGAGGCGAGGAGGGACCATCTCCAGGAGAGGAAGCACATTTCATGGTGTCCAACTGTCCATACAACAAAATACAATGGTTGTGTGAGAATGAATTTGAAGGCTTCAGTGCAGATGTAGTTAGGTTGGTTATCTGAGAGGATCATTGCGGTATACAAGGTAGCCAGATTCCTGAAAAAACCAAGATATTAGAGAGGTTCCGCGCTACGTAAAGTTGAGCAACTTTACGTAAGTGGGAGGAATAAATCCGTGAACTTGCGAGTATGCACTTCACTTGCGGAAAGTTGTCTAAGTAGAGCACGTACGTGGGGCTCCACTAACTTGCCATAGGCAGTCACGCGGTTCGAAAACTCCGTATGGCGGTACACGGATCTGCATGCAGTGTACGTAAGACTTTCCGTAAATTGACTCTGCTTTTTACAAACATAATCACGTTGTGCGGAACCTCTCTAACAAATGTACATGCTGTATAAGATCTCGTAGATTGGATTCGTTTACACAAGTCCGGGTTGTTTGATTCGTGAGTAGCCCCGAGATCACGCTGCCCCGAATAAGGATACTGACTGTACATCATGGCAAAACAAGAAGTACATTTTTTTTAATGAATACCACAGAACCATCAGATGCTGCACAGCAGGGGCGGTGGCATATTGGATGGAAGTGGGGGCGGGGCAAAAGTAACTCCTCCGACCAAAGGTCTTGGAATCATCGTTACTCCTGTGCGCCGATACATAGGAGAAAAGAAACATGTGCATTCAAGAGGGAAGCACCGGCTTTGCAACCGATAATGGGGAGAATTTGAGACATCTAGTACCCGTACAGTTGTCGCCGTATTTCTGTTGCTGTTTCTCTGTTGTTTTTCAGTTGCCATCGTGTCGTTATGGCAATCAAAGCGCACTTTGTTCACAAGTCACTGAACCTCTTGTACGCATTACACAATTCTAACAAGAAACGAAATTGATTTCGATTTGTATAAGAGTTCACAGTGAGTCACTGATCCTCCCTAATTCCCAGCATGACCACCACATTCTCGGAAGTGCAACTCAACGCTACAACAGGCTGTTCACTAATACCCTTGTCGCTAGTCCAACATCATTATTGTTGGCTCGACATTGCAAATGATTTGAAATCAACAGCATGCCTGTTTTACAAGTGCTCTGGAGCTGCAGGACATTGGAGAGGTTCTGCTGTACGTGAAACGTAGGGAATCACGTAGAGAATAGGTGTGTGGATTGGAGTGCACGGCTTATCGTGTTTTGGGTCCAGATTTCTACGCGGAGATGCGGTTCTCTACGTTGTGGCACATGCAAAGAAAATGAGTACGGATCTGCTGGGTATCATTCGAATCAAGCAGAAAATAGCCAAATTCGGAACGGGAAATTCCCAGTACACACTCCATGTGATTTCTCTACATGAACGTAGAGCAGAACAGGTTTCCTTCACGGTTACGGGAACGCGAAGAGTGTTCCCGTGATTCTTCGCTCCCTTAACGTAGAGCAGAACATCACCACGGTCATTTTCCAGTTCAGTATTCGCTCAGGAAATACAAACTAAATTTATGATTGATGTTGTGCATTATATCACAATACTGCATGCTGTGTGGCTGTGGCGTCAAGAACTGACAGCCAGTCCTCGGCACAACTCGCAGAAAGGAACAGCCATGTACCAAATAAATCCTTTTTAGAATTTGTTCAGCTGAATGCTATACACCACATAGTGAGAATTAGCCACGACTGTTTTGTTCCAAGAAATGGGCTTGTTGAAGGAAGTTCCAAGACAAGACAGGAAGCGAAATTAGGTATGCTAGAAGTCGTCGACTAGCAACTTTCATGGCTTCTGCACATTTTCCGAACTATTACTTGAATGCATTATTCTTTCATACAATCAGCTTACGATCAAATCAGGAATTTTCTCCAATCGAAATCGAACGTTACTATCACCTTCTGCGTGAATGACACCACGTGCAAAACCTCCTTCCAGGTAGCTGATCCTCAACTGCAAACCAAACTGGACAACGACGATAACTGAGAGCAGCACCAGGATGACTTTTCCTGTTGAGCATTTCATCGCCATTTTCTGATTGTGCCTGACCCATGTTGAAGATGGCGACTGACGTGGAAAGTTCATTGTGTAAAAACGCAGTTCATCTAATTCTTTGGTGTCTTTTCTCAGCCACATATCCCATATCAAGTGGCACTTTGAACAAAGAAACAGTGCATTCTTCTTTTCTCAGGTTTGCTGGGTTCCTGTTGTCTAGCTTTTCCCAACTGGTCCTAGCCTGCGGACGACGGTCCCTACAGTATCCCATTCTTTCAACTGCACGAGCTGATCCGGCGTTCTGTTATCTTTCTTATTTTGATGATTACAACGTGGAATTCGAGGCTGATGGGCGCAAGTGAGCGTGGTTGACGTACTCATCAGGTTAGTTCTGCCGGCATTTGGCTTGTGTCTTCTGCACAGGCGCGGCGTAGGGCTGCTATGCTCAGTAGTCAGGTACTGGTACAAGTAATGTTAGTTGGCAGTGGAATGCCTTCCATTTGGCAGTGACGATGGTTCCGGCCGGTACAGTACATGCAGCAAAAAAAAGCTGGCATCGTTTCATCTGCTTTCCCTGGCCGTTTTGGCTTGTGCCTCACACAGTGACACAACTGGTAGCCATGATGTGTTGACGTTGTAAAGAGAAGAGCAACTTACTTGTAGCCATTACTAGCTACAGCTGGGGCCTTGAAATTTCTCTTCTCCCTAATCCTTGAGTGTGTGTGTGTGTGTGTATGTGTGTGTGTGTGTGTGTGTGTGTGTGTGTGTGTGTGTGTGTGTGTGTGTGTGTGTGTGTGTGTGTGTGTGTGTGTGTGTTAAAAGCTTTTAAAGCTGAAGGTTTGTTATTATCAGGAAATTATTTTATTCACTTGGTCAAAGACCCTCCTCTTCTCAACAGCTTTCAGAACATCTGTACTGGATCCAATTATGCTACATTCAGCTCAGCAACAGCTGAGGTGTTAACGATTGATTATCCAAACCACCTTCTTGCACTGAATTTGAAAGAGGCAAAAAAAAAGAGTTTTACAGCTTTTCGCACTCTGGCTCTCCTAGCTTCAATGCACGGCGTCAAGAGTACATAAACCACAGTGTGCAACTCGGGATGGTTCCTGTGGGAGCGTAATTCGTGCAGTACGTCATTTCTGACGGCATTGTAAGCCACAGGTACGGTGAAAGGTTGCATAACCAGTCACGGTGGTGCAGGTTACTGAGTTTGTCCTGATTTCGGTTTTTTGAAACGGATAGCCTGGTGAATTTACTTGTCAGCGGATGTACGCAGCATACGCAGTCACACAAAAACACCGAAATCCTAAAACAGGACGACTAAAATCATGCAAACTTGGTTGATTTCCGGTCTGTGAAACACGAAAACCTGAGCTGTACGCAAGTCACGGCTTGGCTGACCTCACCAGTGTGACATAGTGCACGGACTGCGCTGTTTCTGATCTGATATGAACAGTTGCACACTCTGGTTTATGTACTCTTGACGGCGTGTCATCATAGTCCACCCCATAGGCCATGCACATGTACTGAGTAGGTAATTATTGGAGGGTACTGTAATTTCACAAATGTTCGGTGTACTTTCATTTTCGGTACTTTCGGTGCGTCTGTTCCATACCTAAAATTTCAATACACCGAACAAACACATATACCGTATTATCTCCAATATAAGCCCTGCGCTTATATTTTTTCAACCAGTCCGGACCCCGGGTTTATACTAGAGGCTGGGCTTATAATTTTTCAACTACCTGGTACATGTACATAATACAGTACATTGCCTATTATTTTTCATTATATCAGTAGCACAAAGTTTCCCAGCAGGCACCGGGACTGCAGTTTCGTTCTTACTGGTACACTGAGTCTGAAATTTAGCTTTCGGGGATCACAGACGATTACCGTAGCATGTGTTTATGTGATACTGTGTGACGTCAAACGTGCATGGACATGATCCATGTTGTGCTCGACTGTCGCTTTTATTGCTTGGGTACGCGTGAGGTGGCATTCCCTCACCGCAATCATGCATTCACAATGTATACTGTAAAACCGGGAATTTTCGATGGTGTAAGATTCTCGGTATTTCCCAAAATCAACGGTTCGGTAGCGCGAATATTTCGGTAAACCAGTTTTCCAGATCCAAAAATGCATTTTGCACACTGTGTGGCACGGCATGGTTGAATTTTAGGTCGCGTGTTATTTTAGGTAAAATTTACCTGTACCGAAGTTTATACCGAAAATAAATCCCCACCGAACTTTTCTGGGTTTACAGTATGTACAACCGCCGCATTGGTTTACTTATTGTGCGTTTTGTTGGCTGATTTTTTTGTGATTGTCTGATAGCGGAATGGAATTCAATGATGGAATTAGTTGCTTGTTGTAGGACCGAACACAACAGCAAGAGAACTCTTGTTCTGGATTTGGTATGACCAAACGCGTAGCAGAGCCAGGTTCTTCCTAGATATTGTGCTGTGGGATGATCACAGTTATGCTGGGGTCTTGAAGTCCTAGTCATGAACAGTAGTGTGAACAGAGAACAACGATTGCTGACCCATGTGTTGCTCTTTGTACTTGCTACTCTTCTGTGAGATCGTGCTGGAGCTGGTGGACCTGGCAAGTATTTGGTGATGTGGAGAATCTTTTCCGGACGTGTATTGCGAATCATTTGATGTCCATTTGTATTGGCGGGTGTGGACTGTTCCACCTCGCTTTGATATCTCATGTGCAGCTTAGCCTCTGATTGTGCTTTTAGTTTTAGCATTACCCGACACCGGTTGACAGGATTACAGAAACACCTGGAAGTCTCTTCCCTGTGTTGCTGACAGTTCCAAGTGCTATAAGATATGAGCACAACTACACTGCTGGTAAGTTGGTAGTTGGGGACCTGGTTTGAATCGAAGCTGGCGTGTTTATAGACCTTGCATGTTAGGTAATGTACTTTATCCATTCGGGGTTTTTCGTCTTCATTGGTTCACTTGGCTACCTACACTTTAATTCTGATCTTTGATGAAACGCCACGGTGGTTGACCAGGAGCAGGGGGGGGGTCAAGGAAAAATCAATCTTACTTGTCTGAGTGCCTTGGTCTGTACCTGGCCCAGTTGCATGGCATGCCGGTGGTTGGCGATGCATCGCACTCACTCACCTGCCATGCCACTAATCCCAGTACTTGAAAAATGGCCTGCACACGTCACTATTCCTGACGCAGTCTCCAGTACCGGTCTGCTAGATGTGTGTCTTAGACAACAGCACACCTCAGAAGACGATGGCAGCCGACTATGTCCTGAACTTGACTGTCTTGAATTGTCTTGTATGTGTTCTTGCAGTGTGTGTTAGTGTACCATGCAGTGTGTGTTAGTGTACCATGCGGTGTGTGTTAGTGTACCATGCAGTGTGTGTTAGTATGCCATGCAGTGTGTGTTAGTGTACCATGCGGTGTGTGTTAGTGTACCATGCGGTGTGTGTTAGTGTACCATGCAGTGTGTGTTAGTATGCCATGCGGTGTGTGTTAGTGTACCATGCGGTGTGTGTTAGTGTACCATGCGGTGTGTGTTAGTGTGCCATGCAGTGTGTGTTAGTGTACCATGCGGTGTGTGTTAGTGTGCCATGCAGTGTGTGTTAGTATGCCATGCGGTGTGTGTTAGTGTACCATGCGGTGTGTGTTAGTGTCCGCATGGTACACGTGGTCCCTGGCTAGCGCCAGACGTTACTTTTGTAGCGTCTGGTGTCAGCCGCTACTAAAGTAACGTCTTTTGCATAGCGTCGGGAATTAATACTGTGTAACATTGTACAATGTAATTGTACATTTTTAATAAAATATGACAACATTTTGGGAAGAGTCAACCGAGCAGGCAGTGGTAATAAACGCAACCCGGTACCCCTGTAATCCTGTACTGAGTACTTGATCCATTGTTCTTGTTCATTTGATGTTTCCTGCATTCCACCTGACAATAAGGCTTGAAGGTGGATCAAGTACTCAGTACAGGATTACAGGGGCACGATGATGCGGTGTGTGTTAGTGTACCATACGGTGTGTGTTAGTGCAGTGTTCACTGGTCTTCACCATCCTGTTCTCCTGACACACACACACACTGCAATGACTAGTGGGTGCAGTACAGTGAGGAATGTGAGAAATGTGTCAGCTTCGGGTGGTGTATGTGTGGAGAGTAAGAGCACTGGTGAAAGGTGCTGGGAGAAAGGGAGGGAGAGTGGTGGAGGGCTGTGTCTGTATGTGAGTATGGTAGTACTCTGCCTCCCTTTCTCCCTGCATGTTTTACCAGCTCTCCTACTCACCACATGCACGCCTAACTTGACACAGTTCTCACACTCCTCAGCTTATCAAATTTCTACTGCACCTCACAGCATATTATATCTACTCCTTCGTTAACGCGTTGTTGTCTTCATGGTTTTATTGTTTTACCTCGAGGATATGTCATGCCTAAAAAATGTTGTGATTCAATATCAAGAGAGTTTTTTGGAGTAAAGAAATAATAATAATAATAATAATAATAGCACATTTCGCGTAGTAGAGCACTAAATAAAGAAATTCAGTGTTTTTTCCGCTTCTGTCTTGTGAGCATCATCAGCATCAGCTAGGTGTAGTAAAGAAATAATGTGAGAAAATGTTCAGATCAGGTAAGGGGTCGTCGCAAAAGTTTTCTGTCGTCCCTGAAACGAACATCGTTCATTTCGTACTCGGACCCCCTCCCCTCCCTCTGAAACGAACACAGCTTGCTATGCTGGATGACGAAAATCGCATGCATGTACATGTCATATGTACAGTGTCGGTCGACTTGCGATTTTGGCTCGCACCCCCTCCCCCCCCCCCCCTCCCCAAATGAATCATGTTCGTTTCAGGGACGACAAAAAACTTTTGCGACGACCCCTAATGATTATGTGTAGATGGCTGTAGCAATGGAGTTTGCGAATCCCGAGAAAAAGAGAATAAGTGCCCGGCTCCTATACGGAATACTGCAGCATTGCAGACAGCCTGAGTGTAGCAAAGGTGATATCCATTGCAGAGGAGAGCCCCTCCCCCGTTCCAGTCAACAAGCGTGCTCTCCATCCAATCATGCTACTGACTACTGTATCATCGGTAGGTACGTCGCGCTGATTTTTTGTTCGCACGATCATACCTATTTCCTGTCGTGAGATTTTATTGCTTCATTATATTTCTGGTCCACCTACCTTTCGCACTGGGGTAGCTGTACACTTTGTATATCATTATTATCAAGAGTACATAACCGTGGTTATGTACAATCAACCCTCTTTAGGACGAACACCAAGGGACCGATGATATTTGTTCGCAATAGCAGGAGTTCTTCTTATCCGTATGTTATTCCCAGTGAATACACGTACACAGTGATTTATCCAATGGAGTTGGGAATACTAGTTCTTTCCTAACGAGCTTTCACTGTACTCTTGTTATTATCAAGCGCCGAAAATGGTTGTGATTTTCCGCGTTTTACCATGCTCGGCAACCCTATGTCTTTTCTCCGTTTCTTCAGTGAGTTGCATTTGGGTGCTTGTACTGTTGTTGAAGAACATGGAGTTTGTTGTGGTGGCTTGACTATTTTGGCAAAGGGCATTCTATCTTCATAGACGCTGTGTATGTACTGTAATAGCACGCGCATGTACTGTAGTGTGGTAGAGGCAGCTCGAATCAAAAACTCGGCAGAAGAAAAATGCGACTAGCCGGTTTGCCACAGAAAATTGAATTTTCTATTTGAATTTTCAAATCAACCGCCACATATTGTACGAGTTTTACCCTCGCCCCCGTTTTTATCCTGCAAAATTTCTCATGAGCTGAATCAACGCGCAAAAAATCTCCGGAAAAGAAAAATGGCGTCCGAGGAAGGAGTCTTCGACGTTGTGGTTCCTTCAGGCGGTCCTTGCCGACTGGCCGCTTGGAAGGTGAAAGGAGACAAGATCGAAGTAGTTTTGGACCAGACGCTAGCTATTTTGGCGCATACCGTGGATGGGGAGGAGAAACAAGTTATTCTCAAGTCCAGGTGTCGAGTTGGAATTTTGACCAAATTCGCGCGCGAAGGCTCTACTGTGCAACCAAGGTAAGGTGGAAGGATGGAAAGATCTCACAATACGATTGCCTTCATCGTTGTCTAGTGTGTTTGTGCCAGAGGACGTCTTGTTTGCTCCTTGATTGAGTTGAGTTGATATAAAAAATTGAAATCCTTAGTGCTGGAAAAAGCGCGCCAAGTGGGCGGTTTCTATAATAATTTTGTATGGCAATTGTAATTTTTTCTTCAGATTGTCTTCGTAACGTGATTGAAACGCAAGTTTCGTCCTGTGACGGCTATTTCAACTGCGCATCAGCTTTTTATTGCTGCTTTTCGTGTTTCTCGAAATTATCTTTCATACTGGTGTACGTCGGCGGATGGATGCCTTTCGTGATAATAGCGCCTATTTCAGACATAATTGCTTACTCAGCAATGGTAGCCAACGCCTACGCAGTGAAATTAGTGCTTCTAAATCAAATGCATGTGCTAGAATGTGAGAAACATGCCCGTGTCACTGATGTATTGTGTGTTGTAGTCCAGCACAGCAACGGAACACATGCACATGGTCTTGGGTGTGTTTGCAAACAAAAGTTTTCGATATACCGTTGGGCGCAAAGAAATCCGAACCCTTCCTTCCATAGCAAAGTGCACTGTGCCCGGGCCCAAGTGCAGGATCAGCTTGCATGCATGCCCCTCCCCCCCCCCCCCCCAAAGGGCACTCACGAGCGTTTTGTCCACGCAGCTGCGTTGTGCGTGTCATCCTGCGACACCATCCTGAGTCCTGAGCAGTAGTGTGGGAGAACCGCAGTAAAAGTCCTGAGGAATGAACGCGGGATTTGTATTCGCTTTTTAGCCTCGTGCATGCGCAATCCGGTCATTATGGGATGAGCATCTACAAACGGTGCGAATCTCCAGTGGGGTATTATTATATTGACATGTGTGGATGTTTGTCTCGACAGCGATGTTATCGGGCGTGTGGAGTTCCACTGTGAACACGACTACATCGTCAATGGCCTGTGCAGTGTTTGTGGCGCCATCATCTCTAAGACGTGAGTCGCGTGTGTTCGTCAGTTCCTGTGCTAGTATGGGTGTGATGCTGGCAGAGGCAATTATGTTCTGTTTTCCTGCTTGCAGCTGCGGTGATGGAGTACAAACTGCTTTATTGTATCATCTCTTCTTTCGGTTGAGATTTTTGAGCCTCAGCTTCAGACAGTGGTCGCATACTGAGGGGTGACTTGACATTGCCCTGTGTTCAGCTGCAGGCGACGTAGGTTCGAACCTCACCCGGCTCTTTTTTGCTGGACGAGCGTTCTGCCCTAGTAAAATGTGAATAAATGAAATGCTAGTAAATAATATCTGAGAGCTGGGCTTACCAGCTGGGCTCAGCTTGACATTGACCCTCTGAGAGGCGCAGAAAGCTGTTTGAAACCGTGTGCCTGTGTATCCCTGATGCTGTGGTGCAACTTCACAGGCTGCAACTTTGTATTTGCGGTGTGGCGCGCACACTGGATTTCCCGCGTGTGTAAATTGATGCCATGTGTAAACTGTGTGCTTTACAACACGCAGTGCAGTAAATTACTAATGTGAGTAATGTCTGATTTCAACAAGTTGTGTCTGACACTTATTTGCTGCAGGAGCGCCCAGCCTTCGTCCGGAGGCCAGTACGTGCCAGTTGTTCATCATGCACGAAACATTGTCGCCAGCGAGAAGGTGAGATGTGCATCATACCCGTTTGTGCTGGTTGCCATAGTGTTGATGCCGGTGACAATGTGCTCTGAAGTTATACTTTCCCTCGTCTGCTTTTCTCATATGAAAATGTTGAAGACGTGCAGTGTTTTGGTGCGTCAACGAAGACTTGTCCTTCCCTTTGATTTTGTTTGCCTAGGTGGCTCGCAGTATGGCAGGTGAGGAGCAACAGAAACTTTTACGAGCCAAGAAGCTTGTCCTCGTGGTGGACCTCGATCAAACACTTATTCACACTAGCATGGACTACAGAATTCAGCCGGGAATCAAGGTACAGAGTACTCAATAGGAGTTCCTTTTAATGATCCTCTGTTCCATCCTGGTATGGTATTGTGTGTATGTGGGGTGTGGGAGGAGGGGGGGGAGGGGGAGTTGAATTTGTCTCTTGTTCTGTCACTTCGCTTGTCCCGTTGTCCCGTGTTAATCAAGATGATGAAGTCTTCCAAAGTACTTTTACCTTCCATGCATACAGTAGGATATTTAGGGAAGTTTTGCTCTACGTAATTACGTATGAAAATCCGTATGTCGTACGCGCCGCAAAATGAGGGCAACTTTCATACGTAAATCTCTCTATGGATTTCCGTAGGAAAGCTGTTTCATACACGGATTTCCGTATGAAAGCTGTTTCATACGTTGGGTCCTCCGTAGGACTTTTTGAAATATTTTTCGCACTTTCCGGATTTATCCATGGCAACGTTCAAGCCGCGCAAAACACAAGGCACACACCACGTGGAAAACAAAATGGAAAACGCGGTTTGGGCTCGTGGTGCATGCAACACGTCTCTGGAGCTCCAAAGCAACAAGGCATTCTTGGCAGTCATGGAGAAATCACATAGAGCGAAACTCAACAGCGCTGATTTTTACGTATGAAGGTCGTCCCCCGTTAATACGAGTCCGGTTAGAACATAAACCCCGTTAGTACATAACTTCATAAGACATCTCAAGTCCCGGACGAAACGTGGTCACTTCCATACAAATTTTGTCGGTTAATACATAATTCGTTAGTACATAAACCCCGTTAGTACTTAACATTTCTCCGTACCCGCGCATGCCACCTACCTCAATAGTACATCATTTGTTGTTCTTTTGGCCTTCCAGTGGAGGCACATCGTGTTCTACTTTCTACTTGTGGACGCAATTAGCTCAGAAATCAGAGCGCACATCGCAAACCGACAAAGGTCTGTTTTTTTTTCCAGTGACTGTACAGGCGCGGCTGGGCATGTATCATGCAAACTGTAGAATATTCGCTAACTGTGACTGTTATAACATAATTTTGTATGTTATATTGAGGGAATCAAGAATATCTCGCTGCCTAGTCATGGTAGCAAGAAACACTCAGAAAAGTTGAAAAAAGTGAAAAATCCTGGTACACAAGCAAGCTATGTACACTTTCGTTTAGTACATAAACCCCGTTAATACATAACATGTGTCAAGTCCCAGAGATTATGTATTAACGAGGGGCGACCTGTATGCAGTTCCTACGTTATTTTCATACGTAATTCCGTAGGGTGAAACCTCCCTATTACCTCCTCTCTTGTTAGTTCTACACTATGACCCATACGATGCAACGGTCTTTGTTTCCTTCCTCTTCTGTGTGCAGGACGTGTACGGGTTTGACATGGTTGAATCGAATGGACGCCGTGTGCTGTACCACGTGCGTTTGCGTCCGTACACACGCGAATTCCTTCGCAGCGTGCAGGATCGGTTCGAGATGCATGTCTTCACGATGGGGTCACGGCGATACGCAGAGAGCATAGCCGAACTGCTGGAGCGGGAAGTGGACGATGGCTCCGGGAGGTCGTTATTTTCGCGCCGAATCCTGTCACGAGATGAACTCATTGACCACCGTTCAAAATCTCCCAACCTCAGGTCAGTATGACTGTTCGTGGAGGCGATGTACGTACATGCTTTGGTTATATGATCACAGCTATTTGTTGATCGTCGGAGATCATGCTTTGGTTGTCTCAATTTTCATTCCTTTGCCATTACGTGCAGATCTGTTCAAGGTACAGTGCCGCTCAATGAAATCCGATCAAGCGAGTCAATGCCACGCCGGGCGCTGTGCAGCCCTAGGCCTGCGAAAACTGGAATGTGAACAGGCACAGGGCGCAAACTTGATTCGGGCAATCAGATATCATTGAGAAGCACTGGACGGGGCAGGTTTCTTTTAGCAAACTGTGCATGCTGGATTGCAACATGCCAGTCAACAGATCTGTTAACTGGTTTAAAATACCCAAATTCAGTTCAACTGTCTGTGTGTACAACATTCTTTGTGTGTTCTTGATGTTCCATGTCCTTCCTTGTAGAGCGCTGTTTGCAGCGAACGACAGCATGGTCGTCATCATCGACGATAGAATTGATGTCTGGGAGAACCAAGCCAACGTCGTGCAGGTTCAGGCGTATCGGTTCTGGAAAGATGTTGGCGACATCAATTTGCCACCAGGTAGCCATGACCAGCCCCCTGCTCAGTTGCCAAAGCCATCCCAGCAGCAGCAGCACCCACCGGCACAACAGCAAGCTCCATTGTCGGCACAACAACAAGCAGATGGGCAAGAAACCGCACTGGCAGATACCACACCAGCTCAAGTGATGTCTGCCAACAATCCCGAGACGGTAGATAGTGCAAACCCTGATGGACAAGGTGCAGAAAGTGCAGCGGTGGAAGCCAGTTCAGTGTGTGAACAGGCTTTGCCCGGTGTGGACGATACAGTGGGGGCCGACCATAGCAAACATCCTGTCAGCTCTAGTTCTGGCGCCTCCGGTAGCAGTTCATCCAGCTCTGACTCAAGCAGTAGTGAAAGTGGTGATGACAGCCCTGTGAAGTCGTCTCAAGCTAATTCTGTACCGAAAGTCGACAGCGAGAGTGAGATCTCTGACAAACAAGGCCGTTCAGGTGATGATAGTGACGATAGCTTATCGTCAGCATTTGGCAAAGCTGAAGAGCAGGCACCGCAACAAGAAGAGACCAAGCCAATGGACATAGAGCCAGAACCGTTGCAAGGTATGTCAACGTTTTGCCATCCCGGGTGTTATTTCTGACTGTGTGTATTGACTGTATTTTATTGGTATCGTACTCACTCGATCAGATGCCCCGTTTCCAATAGACCGCTTTCGAAAGAAAAATATCTGTCTTGTATGGCATCCCTATGTGCATTGTTGGTGTGAAGTGCTTCGCTCTTACTCTCTTGTGATGTGTGTTTTGCTATGTGTATTTTCTTGTTTTCTTTGGCAGATGTGAAGGCTCCTGTTGGCACCCAGATGATGACGGACAACGATGATTACTTACAGCACCTGACGTCTATTCTGTGCCGCGTTCATGACAACTTCTTCAGGGCACGTGAAGAGAGTGCTAATGCTATGCCAACTACACGGCATCTTGTGCCAGCGTTGCGGGCCGAGACTCTTCGAGGAGCGCACATAGTATTTTCCGGTGTCATTCCAACCGGTTATCCACGGCCAGAGAGTCACGAGGCGTGGCGGACAGCCGTAGCTCTTGGTGCTGTTGTCCAGGACTCGCTGAACGACTCTGCTACACACCTGGTTGCGGCAAAGTACGGCACACACAAGGTACACTCCGCTCAGCGGATGAAGCACGTCTCGGTTGTGAATACTCAGTGGCTTTGGTGCTGCGCACGCCAATGGAGCCATGCCAAGGAGGAAGAGTTCCCACTCCGTGTGGAGCACACCGGTACAGACTTTCCCAGGTCGGCGCATCTACACCGACCGAGACGAGATGTACAAAAGGTCCACCACCACCATCATCATCACCAACATGCTTCTACTGCCGCTGCTCGTCCCCACAATCCTCAGGCCGTGGAGCAGCAACGTAGCGCACCATCAGAGCATGAACCCTCTGCGCAGCGAAGGGAGAGCTTGGAAGCCGTGGCCGGGGCACCCGTTCAGCGACAGCTCTCGATCTCAGCTGAGGAGCGGCACGCTTTGCTGCAGGAAGTCGACGCAGAGCTGACGTCCGACAGCGATGATACTGATGACGATGACAGTGACCTGAAGAGCGAGGCATCGGATGATATTGTGCAGCTCAGTGTGGTGCCAGCAGTATTGATGAAGTCACATTCGACCTCCTCATCCTCACTTAGTGTCAAGTCACAGAAGAGAAGCCATGTAAGCAGTTCCGAGTCATCTCAGCCGGATGATGATGATGAGGACGACAACGACGGCGATGGTAGCATGCAAAACTCCGAATCAGACAGCACTGATGATTCTGATGATGACAATGACTCTGATGATGATGAAATGGTGTGCTTGTTAGACCAGGAGATCACTCGTGACATCTAGGCGCTATGTTAAATTGTATGGCGGTGACGAAACCTCCTGAATATCCAGACGCTTGTTAGTGTCACGGTAAGGAACTGGAGATTTGTGTGCGTGTGTGTGTGAGAGAGATTGAGAAATGTATGCGTGCTTTTATCCTTCGTTTAGCTGCTGTTTTAGACGGTATTCAAATTGCATGCTAATGAAAGCAAGAGCTTTTGTCATGGTCATGAAATTCCCACATATCGTGTCATATTTACCTTACATCTTGGTTTGCGTATATGCGTCATTTGACCTCATGCATGTGTTCAACAAAATTCCCAGCATATCACACTAGCATTCATTCCTCTCTGCAATTATATTTGAGATGATCATGTGTGTGCGCGTCTTCTATTTGATGTTTCCGGCTGCTCTCTTCCCATCCGTTGTGTTGGATGGTCCAGTCTTATTTTGATAGTGCGGATGATACTGAACATATCTCTCTCTCTCTCTCTTGAGATAGCTTTCTAAATTTTTAAAAAAGTATTTTGAGATCATTTGCTTCAGGTTTGTTGATCCTTCGTTTATTGATTTCTTCTGCCCTGATAGTAGGTGTGAGCTGTTATGAGCAGACTTGTTTATGCTTTCTGTTCTTCCCCTCCCTATCTCATGACTCCCTATGTTGGCTATGTTAGCATCCGTATCGCTGTACTTTATCTGACCCTATTTCTTCCTCAATTTCTCCCCACCTATTCACTGATGATCCCCTTTCTTCGCCCCAGTCTTGTTGCGTATTTCACCGTTGTATCTCTTGCTGCGTGTATCAGCTTTTTTCTTTTTTTCACGATGAGTTAATGGAGGTATCGGATTTTGGCTCAAGTCTTTGACATGCGTGTGTGTGTGAAATGGAAAAAAATGAAATGAAAATAGGGATTCACTGCCCAGAAAAGCCACTTCAATCAGCTGTGTGGTGGCAAGCTAGCTGTTCAAGTACTTGAAGTGTTACTATTTGTTTTAGTATTAGATGAACAGCTAGCCTGCCACCACGCAGCGAGTTGGCTTTTTCTGGACAGTGAACAAGACTCGATCGTAGGTCTACGCGCGTGTAGCCGGAAACAGGGAATATTGAAAGGAAAGCTACAAGGTGGGGCGCCCCGGCCGCGCCGGATCGCGGAGCGCGTGTAGTGCCGTGCACGGACACCGCACGTGGCATGTTACCTTGACGAAATGATTTGTGACTTCTTCGTGCAAAAGGCTTTTTACACTGTCTTTTCAAAATAAGGAGGATTTCCGGGGATAGGATACTGTAGAGTGTAGTGAATGTTTTATATCAAGGGTCCAATCGTTTCTGGACTCTCGTTGATATGTTTTGATATCTTGTTCAGATCGGCGAACACAGCTAGCTGTAGTGGGTGGTTATTGCAAACCCCATCTAGAGAATGGCGTTCGATCCTAAAGATCATCAGCACGAACGCTTCAATCCTCTAACCGGACAGTGGGTGCTTGTTTCTCCTCATCGACTGAAAAGGCCATGGACTGGGCAGGTCGAAAAACCCGAAGAAGAGAAAATCCCTGCTCATGATCCGAAGAACCCACTCTGCCCGGGTGCTTCCAGACCCAATGGAAAGGTATATGCACAGGTTCAGTAAATTGAGCTGTGCTGTGTAAAGCTTTTTTGGAAATGTATAAGTGAAAATGCTTGTTTTCATGCTACCCAGGTCAATCCTGACTACGAGAGCGTTTATGTTTTCGACAATGACTTTCCAGCTGTTCTCCCCGACGTACCTAGTCCAGGTTGGTCTATTTACATGCACAATCATGTACTTTCTTTATCGTATGAGTTGATCAATACAATGTCATATACATGTAGTGACACCCATTTGCTGCCAGCCCAGTGGTGCCTGGTGGACTCAATAGGGCTTGAAAGTGCTACGTCACAGCATAGCAACAATTTCAAAAATTCAAAAACTGGATCAACAAGTAACGTGTACATGGAGCCAGTTTTTGCATGGATCCAAGCACATTTCAAGCGGTCTTACTCACAGCAAGGTGATATAGCCGGTGAAATTGACTGGGTTGGCTAATAGGGGTGGGGTGACAACTGCTGGCGAAGAAAAAGTCACACCTGCATACAACATGAGTGGGTTGCTATGCACCCACACACTGTAGGCAATAGCAAAGTCACACCTCAGTGGATCCAAAAGTAGAAATCTGATGTGAACTTACTACTCCCCGTTTCAAGCCCTGTGAACTGAAAGGCTTTTTCAATATGGAGTAACGTCCCTTAACGGTTCACCGAATTCTAATATTAGCACCAGTAGAGGAAGGTCAGTGCCAAATTTGGCGAGGGGATGTTTTCCTGGTGATCAAGTAGACCTTCAGTGTGTACTGCTACTGTCAAAACGTTTGAGGCCTTGTCCCCAAACGTCTGATTGCTACAAAAGCTAGAGGGGTGAGTTGGTTGGAATACGAACTTTCTTACAAACAAGAACACCAAAACTGATTTGAATACAGCAAAAAACGAAGGTGCAAATCAAAGTATGAAGCGCAGGAGTAGCATCATGAGTACGAAGAAATTCATGAGGCAGCAGTGCATTGACATGACATGCACAACCATACTAATACATCATTTTATATTCGTGGGATGATTGAATCCGCGACACTCCGACAAGAAAGAAAGTAGTACACCTCATGAGATAATGAAGACTGGGTGGATTACACTGAGATGTAGTGATGGTGTTTACAAAAGTATCTAGATTCTAAGAAGTACTGCTACAGTCGAAATGCATGACAAATGCATGACAAATGTATGACAAGCGAAGAACTACTTCAAAGTACATGGAACCTCATTACACAGAAGAGAAATGCACGTACGTAGATGTATTAGGAGAATTGTAGGGGATTTATACTCCCGCCGGAGTAATTGTAAATAGAGGGAGAGTCATACATACGCGAACCGTAAAAGCAGTCTCATGATGTAAGGCACACATAGCTTGATGTTACCCACTTGGCGATCTTCTCACGTGCTGCGTCGGCCGACGCTCGAGGAGGACGCTTTGAAGTCACAACAGGTAGCGGAGGGGCATCATCCACTGGAGCCGGATCAGTAACATCAGAAGACACAGGCTGCTGACCTGGAGTGGAAGCATCAACTGGAATAACGTGCCTACACTCCAGGGAATATAGACGGGACAATGGGCGCTTGACGGTGTTGCCGGTTGACATGATGACTTGAGCTGTTCGAATCTGTCCATCCGTGGGACTACAGATGATCTCCGTGATACGACCCAGCTTCCATAGACAACGTAGTGTAGATTCCTCTTCGACGAGCACTACCTCACCCAACTGGGGATGTGACGCTGTCTGTTGATGGCTTGCAGACGCTCGTTTGTCTGCACAGGATATTCTCTCTTGAAGGACTTGCAGATATTCCTTCTTCCACATCTGCCAGAACACTTCGCTTTGACGTTGCTGTCGTCCCCATTCTTGAAGAAGACGGGTGGAGGGATTGGCAGAGTCTGGGACGAAATCAGGTTCATCCAGGGATGTTGAGAGAGGTATCGCAGTGGGGCACTCACCGACTAAGAAATGAGCTGGGGTCAAAACATTGACCTTGCCCTCGTAGTCAGCTGTGACTTGAGACTGGATGATCTTGTTGTACTGTGCCAAAAGGTCATTGTCGGAAGCCAGTCGCTTGGCCAGAGACGTTAACCGACCTAAGGCGAGACCACAGTTGTCAGATACTTCAGGAGGCTCTGCTTTCCACGGCCACGCGATCTCATATCGCTGGCCCTCATACCTGACATGAGTGTCAAAGTGACGTTGAGCGAGCTCGTCAGAGGTGACATGAGGAGAATCCGTGATACCTATGGTGTCAAGAGACCACATCCGAGAAAGATCAGGATACGGCATCATGGACAATGGAGCTACATAGTTACCCAAAGACGACGGATGCTGGCGAGCAGAGGTAAGTGTGGAGCACAGAAGTACACTACTGGCAGACTCGGAGTGGTCCGTCTCCACGGTCGACTTCCCAGCAACGAGGTATCCAAGACGGGACGGTATAACATGAAGGCCAGATGGTAGAGAAACGGAAGGCCCGTTGATTAGTTCCCAGAAATGGGCAGCTCCAATCAGCAGGTCAATCTTACACGTTGACGATTCAGAAGAGATGGGCTCCGCGAGAGCATCACCGGCAACCGCCAATATAGTGGCGTAATCTTCATCTGAGAGCCGACAGTGTCGAATTGGATCGGTAATCTTCTGCATGGTGTTAGCTTCCATGGTCAGACGAGAGCCATCATGGAGTTCAAGATCGAACTCGACCGTTGTTGTGTTGAGCTGTACAGGCTGCGATGAGGCGAATGTGGAGACAACTAGGCACTCTTGCCGACCTGCGGGCAAGCCTAGTCGTGTGGCTGCGTCTACACTGAGGAATGTAGACTGAGAACCGCTATCCAGAAGGACCGTAACTTGTTGAGATTCACCTGAACCAGAGTGGATAGATGTCCTGGCAGTCATCAAGCGAGTCTGGCTTGCTGGGACTGTTGGACCAGGGAGCTGCTGAGTAGCAGCTACATTAGAGGACACCCGCAGAGATGATGAGGAGCCACTAGAAGTAGTAGCAGATTGCTGTTGTTGAGGATTCCCAGTACGGCTCTGCTGGGAATCACCATACCGTGCCGTCTGACGTCCAGCAGAGCAGATTGCTGTGTTATGGTGATTCGACCGGAGGCAATGCTGACATTGTCGTTGCCGGGTGCAGACCGAACTGGTATGACCTGAGCCCAAGCAACGAAAACAGAGACGTAACTCCAACAAGCGATTCTTACGAGCCTCTGGAGTAGCGAACTTCTGACACGAGTCGTGTCTGTGTGTAGCACCACAGAAGACACATGGCCTGCGAGACTGTTGTCCAGAAGCTGTGGGTACTCGATGCTGTTGTGCTGTCGCCACAGGAAGAGCGCTCCCAGATACAGGACCAGGCGCTGGCGCGGCCGGGACGCTGCCGTCACTGCGAGAGGTAGAAGGTGTGGCAGACCGCTGGTAGGCCCTGTCATGTAAGCTGACATTCCTCTTCAAAGCCCGGCGGAGCTCTGATGCACTCCATGCTTGAGCCGCCTCCGATAGGGGTCGCCATTCTTCCAACTTGGTTGTGACACTAATAGGAAACTTCGACAGTATTTGTTGAGCGACCAGCCGCTGAGTGGCCAGAACCTCTCCTTGAGCTTCCAGCTGGAGGCACACATTCTCAATCATCTCACACTTCGCCTTGATGTCGCTATGACTGGATGTGGACGCCGGCATATGTTGCAACTTGTGATACAACTTGGTGATGATGACGTCAGCTCTGCCGAACTCATCCTGAAGCGTTTTCAGGGCCACGGGATAGTTCTGGTCAGTAACAGCTATTCCAGCAATTAGACGGCAAGCAGACCCTTTTAATGATGACTTGAGATATGTGAATTTGGTGACGTTCGGGAGCTGCTGCGAGTCAACAGATGCGACATACATATCCCAAAAGACGGGCCAGTCCAGAATGTCACCACTGAAGCTAGGTAAAGACAATTTCGGGAGGTTCACCTGGGTATACGTAGTTGACCCTGGCTGCATGGGTGACTGAGCCATCGTGGTCGGCTGAACGGTTTGAACCGCAGCAATAGCAGCTTGCCTGGCAGCTTCAGCGACCATGGTGGTCATGGTTGCAATACTAGACGGAGCTGCAGCATCAACAGCACGTGGCAACGGACTAGCGACTGGCGAGAATGAACTAAGGCTGAGTGAAGCCATGCTTAGCTCATCAGAGGAATCATCATCACTGCTGTCATCCAACATAACAGTATGTGCTGACATAGGAGTGTGGGATGGCAAAGGAGTAAATTCTACTTTGCTGGCACTAGAACTAGACTTCTGCTGGACAGAGCTTTGCTGTGGTGGTTTCAGAGCTGACAGAATACTATGGGTAGACACTGGAGCTGCTGTCACACTGTGTAGAGCAAAGGGCAGTTCACTGCAGGCAGCTGTACTGGTAGTCCCAGGCTGGAGCTGCGGTGTGTAGAAGTTAGGAACTGGTGGCATGGTGTGACAGTCGGTGCGTGACGGTGACAAGCTCCCGCTACATGTATCCAAATGATGAGATGCAGGGGTGCGTGTGTGTGCACTGCTACGAAGTGATTGTGACGCTGGTGCTGATGCTAATGTACCGGTACATGTGTGACTGTCAGTAATGGTTGCCGCAGAAACTGAATGCAATGAAGAAGAATGGGCAGGCAAACGAGAGAGACGTGAAACGGTAGCCTCAACCGGGTCAGGAAAGTTCGCCATGGCCTCAGGAGCCGTACGCATGATGGAGCTCCTCACCTTTCTCAAGATACCACATAAGTCGTCAAATTCTGACTCCCAGCTGTCAAGCTCGTCCAGTTCGTCTTCAGCAGAGTCCATTTCTTCGTATGCTGTCCGAAGGGCCGCTACAACTTCCTCAAGTTGTAGTGATAGCGACTGGGCCTCCCCCCAATCGGCTGCCAAATACTGAGTATTGGAACTTGACTCAGCGCTAAACTCGCGCGCAAGGCGAGTGTGTACGCGGACAAAACGTCTGCGCAAGTTCGCTCTACGGCGAAGCAACTGCTCAACATCGGAGCTTGCTTGGGTGGCCATCCCGAAACAAGCTGATGTCGAACGAAAGTTGTGATCGTGACTATCCTGGTCACAGCACCATGTCAAAACGTTTGAGGCCTTGTCCCCAAACGTCTGATTGCTACAAAAGCTAGAGGGGTGAGTTGGTTGGAATACGAACTTTCTTACAAACAAGAACACCAAAACTGATTTGAATACAGCAAAAAACGAAGGTACAAATCAAAGTATGAAGCGCAGGAGTAGCATCATGAGTACGAAGAAATTCATGAGGCAGCAGTGCATTGACATGACATGCACAACCATACTAATACATCATTTTATATTCGTGGGATGATTGAATCCGCGACAGCTACTTGAATGTCTGTGTGTGTGTGCGCGTGTGTGGTATGTGTGTGTGTGTGTGTGTGTGTGTGTGTGTGTGTGTGTTTGTGCATGTGCACAGTTCAACATGTATGAAGAAAAGAAAAGAAAAGCATAGATCGTCTTCAATGAATAGGCCGATTGCCGAATAGAACATGGTGCGAGATCCCATGCAGTTTAGTTGGAAAGGGTGCTTTTCAGCACTGAAGCATCCAATTTGAGGGCAAATTTGTTATTCCATGGCGGGATGTGGCACCAAATGAACCACTCCACCGATATCAATCAAGCGGATACTCAGTACCTGGCAGGAGTGTCTCGCCGAAGACAAATCCTTGCATGGATGATTTACGGCGTTTGTACTGGGTGTGAGCGCAACACACATATTAGTTTGTACAGGATCAAATGGGATCTTGTACACCACAGGTCCATGAGATGTCTAATAATTATGTGTACAATGCACATTGCATCATAAAAAAGACGTCAACTTGCAATTCTGCTGGGACAGCGCCCATAGCGGAGTCGCATACTCTTCGGGGTTATGTACTAGTACTCTTGGTGATATGATATGGATGTGTTCATGTACATGTATTTTACCAAACTGAAAGTGTAGCATGAATGTATCAGTTTCCTTATAAGACTTCTCTTTATGTCATTTTATCATCCTTCCTAGAGGAGTCAGATGATCCATTGGAGCGAGCAAGAGGAACAAATGGCACGTGGTATGTGTTTGTGTGCATGTGAAGGGGGGGGGGGGGGAGGGGTACTGGTTTTGCAGTGAGAGAGAGAGAGAGAGAGAGAGAGAGAGAGAGAGAGAGAGAGAGAGAGAGAGAGAGAGAGAGAGAGAGAGAGAGAGAGAGAGAGAGAGAGAGAGAGAGAGAGAGAATACTCATAGCTGGCCATGCTAGTACATGCATGTGTGTGTGTGTGCTGGACTTGCACAGGGCCAGTCTTAGGGGTTAGATACGCGAGAGAGAGAGAGAGAGAGAGAGAGAGAGAGAGAGAGAGAGAGAGAGAGAGAGAGAGAGAGAGAGAGAGAGAGAGAGAGAGAGAGAGAGAGAGAGGGGGGGGGGACTAGTGCAAAGTGTTTGTTTCTTTATTGATAGTGTATTCAGCAGATGCTTGGTTAGGTGCCAGCATCTACCGTCTGGTGCATTGTGTTTTGATTGCTTCAATTCAACATTCTGTATCACCAACTGGCTTTAGGATTCAGATCTTCTGTTTTTATCTCTTGTTGTTCTGACTACTGTCACCTGTCGTTCTGTTTTATAGCCGTGTCATGTGCTTTCATCCTCGCTCTGATGTCACCTTGCCACTCATGTCTATTGAGGAGATCCGCAAAGTCATAGATGAGTGGTCAGTGCAGTGTATTGACCTGGGCAAGCGATTCAAATGGGTTCAGGTGTGTGGCAAAGTGAAGTGAATCTCTGCATTTGGTTTGTAGTTGTATTTTGTATCTTTGTGTGTTGGCGCGTGCACGTGTGTACTGAAGTATGTGGTGGTGGTGGTAGTGGGGGTAATGGTGGTGGTGGTGGTAGTGGGGGTAGTGGTGGTGGTGGGGGGGGGGGGGGGGGGGGGGGAGGTAGTGGTGGTAGTGGGGATGGCATTGGTCATATGTAGGCACATTTAGTTTGCCCGTACAAGAGGCTTTTCTCTGTATTGGTGGTGATGCGTGCGTGTGTGCATGCTTGTGATCGTAATTTTGATTCTTTCATCGTGTTATTTCACTGTGCTGTGTTGTGTTGTGTTGTTGTAGGTATTTGAGAACAAGGGCAAGGTCATGGGCTGCTCTAACCCTCACCCACATTGCCAGGTAAGCAGAACAATGTGAATGAGTGCTAACGGCAAGTAATGCCTGTATCCTACTAACCTTTCACAGTGGTGCTGGTTGCCGCTGTGCTCTGCTCTGCTATGCAGGTTAGAGAGTTGCTTAGGCGCCACTTTGCATCATTGGCCTCTCGGCAAGGTCCCTGATTCTATTCCTGGTGGTCACAATTATTAAGTCTTGCTTTAGATTTTAGAACCTATCAAACACAGAATCCGCCAGTCATTTTGGTTTGACTCTGGATGCTCTAGTAAATCGGAGGCTCATTTTCTACTCATGTTTTGAGTTGCTTTACTTTCTCTAATATGTTTTGGTGATCATTTTGATTGCTCGTGTGCTTGCCGCATGCAGATCTGGGCCACGTCCAACTTGCCAAATGAAGCAAGTGCCGAGGTATGGCAATGAGTTAGGATCCTGTCGTACCCTTTTGCTGTAATTTGTGCTGATTTGAATGTGTTTCCCCACTGTTCCCAATTTGTGCCGCTTGGAGCTGCGTTGGTCCTTTATGTGTTATTGTGCTATTCTGATTTGGACAGTGTTATTTGAATGCCCCTGGTTGCTGCTGGTGCTGCTGTTGTTGGTGTTGGTGTTGCTTGTGCCCTAATGCACCAAACAGCGAGCTGTAGGGCGAGAAAACTGCAGTTGCTGCGAAAGAGCAACTCTCTAATTGGCCTGCGTGTGTGCACGCGCATGTGTCTTCTGGTCTATGCCCTAACAGGACAGGTGTCAGCGAGAATACCTTGAACAGCATGGCACACCCATGTTGGTGAAGTATGCACGTTCTGAGGATGAAAAGCGGGTAAGGGAATGCTTTGTGCCGGCATATTGTCTTCTCCACGGGTTGCGTCTTCTTTTGACCCGATTCACCATAGTATCCAGTTCCGGTACTATGTATTATGTGTAAAGCGTTGTTGTAGATACATGTAGCATACTGCACGGTAGAGTATTGTTGTGACTCGTGATGCTATCAATGGATTTGTTTTGTGTACAGATTCGAGTGTTGGTGGATAACGAGGACTGGATCTGCGTGGTTCCTTACTGGTAGGTACAAGGTACTACTCGTACACACCTGGACCATTGTTATGCCCTGGTGTACAGTCGATGTGATGTGCTTCCGAGTAGCCACAAGTAGACGTAGCTGTGTATTCATTCTGCTTCTACTTAGGTTATTAATGTCCTTTTCGATTCCACTTTGATTGTTTTCTGTGTACGCGGGAGGTGGTCATGGCTGTGTGCACTTGCCTTACTGTCTATTCGCACTTGTTGCGCTCGTTGTGTGTTGCAGGGCGCTCTGGCCGTATGAGCTACTGCTCATGCCACGCCGCAGGCATATTCTGCGCATGCCCGACTTGACAGATGCGGAGAGAACTAGTAAGTACTTGTACTTGTAAATGCAGGCATACATGCTAAGAAGCTCTTGCTTGTTTTCTTCTAGCTGGCATAAATGTATTAGATGGTGCCTGTAACACCGATGTGTTTTTAATTTTTTTTTCAAGACAGTATTTTAGTCTCATTTTCCCTGAGGCCAACAACAAGAGCCAGTTTGGTCAGCATGCCCAGTCATTGACGCTTGAGGTTGTTCATCGGGGCTCACAGAATTCCTGACTTCTATGCTGATGTACAGTTATGCTCGGTGAAATCCGACCCAAAGTGCGTGTTTACTTAGCGCCCTCAACTTACCCGGCCCTTGACGCCCTGGAAGTACAGTGGTCCCTCTATAATCCGGCACCATTTGTGCCACGAAAATCTGCTGGATTAGGGAGGGTGCTGGATTAACAAATCTGATTTACTGCTGCAATGTGTGTAAGAGGACATTTTGGCTACTGAAAATTGTGCTGGTTTATCGAGGGTGCTGGATTATAAAGTGCCGGATTAGAGAGGGACGACTGTAGTACTGATGCAGCTGCACGTGTACATATACATGTGCAGTGATGTAATCGGAACTGGTCCAGGGCGTCAGTTTTTGCACTTCGGGTCGGATTTCAGTGAGCACAACTCTATGTGCACCGTATGTAGACTAGCATGGTTCTTTGTATGGCCTCTCTTCCTTTTTCCATTTCTTTCTGTACAGGCTTGGCTGATATCATGAAGCGTCTCCTCACCAAGTATGACAACTTGTTTGAGGTGTCTTTCCCGTACTCAATGGGATTCCATGGTATGTTGTGTAGATTACGTTACTACAGTGTAATGAGCTATTGATGGCAGTGCCGGCGTTTCGCCAGGCCTTGTAGTGCACCCTGAAGGCCAGTGGTGATTTTACACTGCACGTGGGTACGGTTGTGGTGAATTCCATGAAGTCCCAACTGCTGCTGTGCATGCTTCCCATTCTTATCTTCCACTGTGTTTGGTGCCAGCGCTGGTATGGTTTCAAAACTTTCAATGGATGCTTTGAGTGGTCAAGAGTCACATGGGTCTGTTTCCAGAATCCATGGGGTACTGTTTTCTCTTCTCCTAGGGATAGGGTTATTTTGCAGATGAAGCAGCTATGGTGCTGTGTCTGTGCATACTTTTGCAGCCGTGCATCTAAATGCTGTGCACGATTCGTGTACATACACTTTGAGTTTGAAGTACTCCTGTAGCAGGTGCTTGTGACCCAGATTGAAGTTTTAGAGTTGCTTTTCTAGAGGGGCATATTAGAGAGGTTAGGATGCACGTTATTTCCGACGTGACGCGGGCCAAAAAACGCGAGCTGAACTTTCGCGTCACGTCGGAAATAACGTGCATCTTAACCTCTCTATTATTTCGATCACCTCTTATTAGTTATATGACAATATTTTTTGAGGGAGTGGGGGGGGGGGGGGGGTGTTTTCCTTGTGTTTTTGGTTTTGTCATGATCTCACCAGTGTTGTGATCTGTGTGATCTTCTGCAGGTGCACCATTCGGTGTTCCCGATGACCAATGCCAGTAAGTAACCATGGCAACTGCTCTGCTGTGCTCTCATTGCTGTGTACTGCGGTCTGTTGACGTCTTGCCGATGTGCCATTTCAGCTTGTAACCACTGTTCCCATGCATAGTACATGTGCCATGTTCAACGTACTGTGGTTCTTGCAGCTCCTACACAGGTGCCATGCAGTCAAGTTTCTTATTCTGGGGCCTGACATATTTTATGCACCTGGAAGCAACTGCTGTATTTAAAAGTATACACTTTGCCCTCTCCTACCCACAGTTCCGGTACATGTCGTCCTACTTGCCAGTGAGTAGTGTCCTTCTAGTGCAGTACATGTAGATGTGTGTGCTCTGAGAAATATTTGAAACGCATGCAATTACCCTGTACATGTACTGTGGTATCCGTGCCACCCTACCACTAGTACCACTGCACATGTTTATGTACATGTATCTGTATTCAGGTGTTCTGCTCTTGTTTTGCTGTTGCTTTGTTACCCATGCGGCTACAGGCACTGGCAGTTCCACGCTCATTACTACCCGCCACTTCTTCGCTCAGCCACGGTCAGTGGTCTCTCCTAGCTATGTGTGCATGTTCAAAGCACGTGTTTCCTCTGTGTTTGTTCGCATTGACCGTTGTGCAGACAGTCGAATGGCTTGCATTGTGTTGGGCTACTGCAGTGAATATCTTATGTATCTGTTGCTGTGCTAGAGACGGGTCTAGCATTCTCCTTGGCAGCACTTCTCCACTATAATTATATCTAGATGCACTGCTGCCTTCTCTCTTTACATTGTCTATTCTAGGTCAAGAAGTTCATGGTCGGATATGAAATGCTAGCCGAAGCGCAGCGTGACCTGACAGCTGAGCAGGTAATGAGCGTGCTCAAAGCTGTGTGTTGTGTATATCTTGTGTAGAGTAGAACCCGGGTTAAGGGTCACACCGGATTAGGGATCAGAGCCCGGGGAGGGGGTCACTTGGCACGTACATGGTGCGGGTGATCCTTCGGAGCCCGGGGGGGGGGGGTCACTTGGCATGTATATTGTGCGGGTGATCCTTATATCGGGATTTAATTTCCGGCCCAAGGGGGGGGGGGGGGGGGGGGTCCCCCGTCGGTTTCCGAGGAAGCCGTAACTTTTTTCCCTCCAAACTATTTTTCCGGGGTCCATCTACTCACAAGAAGTCGTTTTGCACACCTTTTTGCCCATCCCTGTACAACTGAGTCCAGCTATGTCCGCGCAGAGTAAGGTGGACCCTTAACCCGGGTTCTACTCTACGAGTGTGCTGTGTATGCTATATTTGTTCTTCTGTACTGTCTCTACACTACAGTACATGTGCTGCAGTAGTAGGCCTTTCTTTGGATACTGTATCTGATTCCGATTCATGCAGTAGAAGGAAAGCTGGGTGTGTTTGTGTCGGGGATTTAGGCATCACGGGTGTGTGTTGTCACCACTCTACCGGTAGAGGTAGCTCTACCAGTTTGAGGGGCAGCGTTCTTTATAATTCTACTAGAACTTGTAACTCTACCAGTTTGAGGGGCAACGTTCTTTATATTTCTACTAGAACTGGGAGTTCTACCAGTTTGAGGGGTAGCATTCTTTATATTTCTACTAGAACTGGTAGCTCTACCAGTCAGAGGGGCAGCTTTCTTTATTTTTCGACTGGAGCTACATGTGGTAGCTCCACCGCTTCTATCAAGTCAGAACGTGTTAGAAACTGCTAGACTATGTAGTTTGTAATTTTTGACCATGGAAGTGGATACATGTACTGAAACGCGTAGTCTTCTGGACAGCTTCAAGCTGTGAACTTTCTGCACCAGAAACGACTGATCTACTTGTACAGGTAGACCCAGTAGAGTAATGACGAATGCAATCCAAGTTGGCTCTGCAAGGTATACAGCAGTCGATGTGTGTGTGTGGGTGTGTACTTGTGTACGTGGGTGTGTATATATGTGTGTGGGTGTGGGTGTATGTATATGTGTTGGTGTATTGCTCTTGCTCTGTTGTTCTGTGCAGGCTGCTGAAAAACTGCGTAACCTGCCCGACGTGCATTATAAGGTGAGCAACTAAATAATTTCGTGTAAAAATAACTACAATGTAACTGTTATCCAGGATTGAAATATTACTCAATCTCTTGACAGCTAGCTGGTTCGGCCTTGTTAGGTCTGATCAGCGGAGCTCAGAGCTGAAAACGTTGAAGTCAGACATGCGCCTGGCTAATACCCAATTGCAAGTGGTGGAGCTACAAGTATACGTGCATGCTACACCGTGCGGATGGCTGCGACAAGGAATGAAGTAGCATATCATACAGAATACTGCTGGCGGTCACGTAACACATCTCAGCATGCCATTGTTGTTTCTGCTGGTGTCTTTCCTGTGCTATGTACAGCTGAGAGGATAGGCTGGCACCAGGCAGCAGCATATCAACTCACTCAATCCGACCATTCCATCTGGCTCTGACCATTCGAACTGTAGGGGCACAAGTCCACAACTTATTATTGACTTGCTGCTAAGTATTGGCCTCGATATTCCATCTACAGTGCTGACAACTGAAATCCGACCCCTGAGCGGTGCGCTCACATCGCAAAGACCCAACACGGGATTGGAAAATTACGAAACAGAGACCGCTAGAATGTGAATGCACCGCTCAGGGGTCGGATTTCAGTTGCCAGCACTGTACATCATGCTCGCCTTTTTTAATAGAGATTTTGACCCTCTATCCCCATTCCGGTATTATGAGTATTTGGGCTGTTTCGGGGGCTGATGACTCTGGTCAAATTGTAGTTAGGATGAGGAAACATGTAAAATTTCTCACGAAAGCTCTTTTCACTTTTAGCATGGAGCTAGGTAGACGACTGCATATTCTAACAAGATTAGAATAAATATTAGAATAAATATTAGAATAAATATTAGAATAAATATTAGAATAAATATTAGAATATTATTTTACTTTCCAATGACTTGTTTTCTACTTGTTGCTGATTACACATACGCACACACTCAGTGTCTACACATACGCACACACTCAGTGTCTACACATACGCACACACTCAGTGTCTACACATACGCACACGCTCAGTGTCGTGAGACTCGTGACATAACTTATATCTATTTCACTTCTATTCCTTCAAGTGGCCCTGCACATGTTCTGCATCACCTTGCCCATGGTGGCAGCACTTCGGTGTACGGACTTTCTTATGCTCCTTTCTCCGATAGCATGGTGCTGTTGGCTTGTGTTTCAAGTTTGTCTTAGCAGCAATCTATTTTACATAGGTATTGTTTTCATGGTCACTATCACGAAGCTGGACCTTTTCTTCGTCATGGATCGAGTTGACCTTTCACAATTCATGTTTTCACTGATATTTATCCAACACTCCTTGGCTGGATACTGTACCGGCACGTTCATAACAGGGAGTAGGTAGTATTTTACTATTTGAGGCACTCCCTGGTTCATATTACCTCCTGAACAATGTCAATTGTCCTCGAATAATTTCTCACAGATGGTGACAAGAATACCTATGGCTCTGCTTCATTTTCTTGTGGTGATACAATGTGTGTTACATCTGTGTGTGTGTGTGTGTGTGTGTGTGTGTGTGCACGTGTGTGTGTGTGTGTGTGTGTGTGCACGTGCGTGTGTGTGGTGTGTGTGTGTGTGTGTGTGTGTGTGCGCGCGTGTACATTGGAATAGGCTATAAAGAGAAAATCTGTGGGTTCACATCCAGTGCACTTGCAGATATGCGTGCTTCTCTTGCGACAGGCGTATATATGGCGTGTGTGTGCGCGTGTGTGTGTGTGCCCGTGCATGTGATGTTACACATTAATGCACGCGTAACTTGTTACATGTACTTCACAGTTATTTGCCAGCCGATCATGGCTTGTTGGCTTTACGGTGATTCGTACGTTTGTTTATCATAACAGCAAGAGTATAATACTCTTGGTAACAGCAAGAGTACTGTACTCTTGGTAACAGCCATGCTTATGTAGTCTTGATGTACTACGATACGTCCCCAATTTGCCCAAACCCAACTCGAACTCATGCAGCCCATTGTCAGTATAATCAAGAGTACATAGCCCCGAATACCGGTATGTACTCTTGGTATAATGGCATCATGAGTCGGTCCATCAATAGGGTTGTGCCTCTTATTCGTCTTCATGACATGCATTTACAATATTGTGATTTGACCAGGGCAGTTCCTGTATCCGGCTACGCCAGGGGGGCTACATGTATGTAGCCTAGGGCTCCCTGCCCTGAGCTATAACTATAATGCATACCAGGGAGTAGTACAATACAGTATTGTACTACTCCCTGATGCATATACTACAATCAAGAGTTCATAACCCTCAGCCAGGCCCAGGGTTATGAACTCTTGCTACAATTGTACATGTAGTATTGCGATCCGGAGATCGAGAGATACAGTCATGATTGTACTGTACTGCATACAGATGTCATAGCAACCATTTCATCGCGTGCGGACGCTCACGTGAGAAATAGTTTTTGCGCACAGCTACTCTGTACTGTCAGATCAGGGACTCTCCCCGCACAGTACAGCTAGCTGCAGCATGCACGTCGAGCCAGAGAATGATTTTTTAAATGACCACGATCGGAAACTTTTTGGCCTCTACTTTTGTGCAATAGGGCTTGAAAGTGATGACGTCAAAATGGCCAGGGAGTAGTAAGTTGACATCAGATTTCTATTTTTGGATCCACTAAGGTGTGACTTTGCTATTGCCTAAGTATGTGGGTGCATAGCAACCCACTCATGTCGCATGCAGGTGTGACTTTGATTTCGCCACCAGTTGTAACCCCGCCCCCAGTAGCCAAATCAGTCAGTTTCACTGGCTACATCACCATGCTGTGGGTAAGACCGCTTGAAATGTGCTTGGATCCATACAAAAACTGGATCCAAGTGGATCCAGTTTTTGAATTTTTGAAATTGTTGCTATGCTGTGACGTAGCACTTTCAAGCCCTATTACCAGATCACTGAGTACCCAAACAAGTTTACCAAACAGAGTTATCCTCGTACTTTTCTGTGTGCCTTGGAGAGTAAGACTTCTCCTTCGATCATCGCCAGGCTGTCGGGGCTTGAGCTCCATCATCGAGAAGTGCTGTGGACACAGTGGTGACCTGTCTCATCAAAATGAAGGTCGTAGCTCTAATCAGGTAAAGCAATTTTTGGCATTTGGGTAATATCCTCACACTAGCACTGGCAAATATTCCAAAGAGCTGCTCGTCCTTTGAGTCGATAGTCGATACGAGTTTAGAGTACGCTGTCAGTTTTGTGCCTTGTTGCACAAAATGGCAACATTTGCGCCTCGATCCTAGACGGTAGTCGCGTTCCTGCGGATGCTGAAAACTCAGTGTATCTACATGTAACATTGTAAGTCTCACGCGAACCTTCATCCCCCCCCCCCAAAAAAAAGAGAAGAAGCCTGAGGCAGAATGTCTACAAGTAAACAAATACTAGTAAAATAAAGCAAAACAGTGCACTTGTAGTTTAGGTAGTGTGTTGGTGTTGAGTCTAGCTACTCTTGCATACATGTACTGTTATAGTGTTACACTGTCAGTTAGTCTATAGTGTTACAGTGTAGTCCAGTGAATCGACTTGTTTTATTCAAAGCCCCACATTTAAGTGAATAATAGCAAGAAGGTACAAGAGAAGAGCTAGAGAGAAAAGGGAAGCCAAGGAGGAGTCCAGGTGGAAAAGGAAAGATTAGAACATTGAAAGGATCGGTCACCCAATACGATTAATTCCCATCACGGATAGCTGATCATACCCGGTCACTGACCATGGGATAGGTTATCAGTTAGTACCATGGTGCTTTGAATTTGTTTGATGATATGTGCAATTCATTTTGGCCGTACAAGAGGCTTTGTTACCATGGTGCCAAGTGCCCAGACTCCCAGTGGCATGTGCATTGCATTTCACTGGCATGATCACACAGTGAAGTGAACAGCTGGTGATAGCCTTGCAGCCTTGCAGGTATAACTACTAGTAGGGTTTTATTAATATAGCACAAAAAGAATGATAACAATTGAAGGCAGAGGCAATTCGAAATTGCTGAACCTCAAATTATGGAACACCAGTCGAATCGCAGCTCAACAATTAACACCAGAGATTTGCGTGATTACAGCTTGCAAAAATCACAGTCTGACATGGTGCAAGTGGGTACTGTAGTGTGTCGTGCTAACATGTCATTATCTACCAGTAGGTACCGGTATGTATAGGACCAGATGATGGAAGGGAGAGTGTAAATCTCACACATCAAGCAGACATTGGTATAACTGCTAAGATCCTGGTTTCGACATGCCATCAAACCTGAGTACGGTTGCTGTGGTATTATTTTCTCCTCCTTTTCTTGGGAATCAGCATAGCCAGTGTGTGCGGCATAGATTCATCTGCAAATCAAGTTGGCAGTGGACACGAGACCATAATGTCCAAGAGAATTGACTTGACTGGACTGCCGTATTGCGGTTTGTTTTGGGTTTTCTGTTTATATTATCCTGCATGCATGCCACATACATATGGTATGTTGCTGCTGCTGCTGCTGCTGCTTCTCCTGCTGCTGCTGTTGTTGTTGTTGTTGTTGTTGTTGTTGTTGTTGTTGTTGTTGTTGTTGTTGTTGTTGTTGTTGTTGTTGTTGTTGTTGTTGTTGTTGTTGTTGTTGTTGTTGTCTTCGTCGTCGTTGTCGTCGCTGTTGGTTATGTTGTAATTGTCTGCAGTGGTGGCAAGGATAGTACGTACAACATGATGCAGTGTGTGGCAGCGGGTCACGAGATTGTTGCACTGGCC